GTGATGTTTTTAACCGATAACGCTACCGATAACCTACCGATAACACGTTTGAGCACTTCAGACCCCTCGGAAGCCCATGGCCCCGGCCAAGGCTGTACAGTCATGCGACTTAACTTGCCCGCTCGTAACACTCTACCGCTACCAGCCCGATGCTACAGTTCACTATCGTAGCATGTGCTGAACCTCTTGGATACGTCCCTGAAGAGTAAACCCCCAGTCAGAGGAAGTTTACCGATAACATTGTGTTAAGGAAACCAAGCTTGGGAACGGTTGTTTTTTTTACTGCCCCAATTTGATTCTCATAATGTCCATGGTATTTTGCTTCGATGCCTTCAGCTTCTTTTTTGACTTGAACATTTAAATTGGGATGGCCGACCTTAAGCCTTTGGTCATTCCAGCTCACACCACTTGTTCTTCAAGGGGCTCTACTGAGGGGACATGATCATTCCTATGACCTTTTGTGGTAACACTTACCGCAAGGGCGAATGACCTAACCCAGACCCAAGATACATCCTCAGGCGGGACACTTACGTGCATTTCACGGGCCAGTCGCACAAGCTGGAAGAGGGTCGGGTGCCCGGGCACCCTGAACCCTAAACCGCGCTTGTCCCCAAATCAAGGAGGTTTTGACAACATGCTACAAGCTGCCGAGCTAGTACGGGTAATGGAAGGGCCTGAGTAGTTACCCCAGTACATAACATGGCCTTGGACAATTGGATTACTTGTAAAGTCATGGTAAGGGGTCCCCCTGAATTTCATGAATGAGTTGTGTATCCATCTTGGGTTTCTGTTCCACGCAACAATACACCAGGATAGTTGAGGCTCGTTGGCTTGCTATCGCAGTCTGTGTTAGGTGGACCCCCCCGACCCAGCAATACTGACTATAAGGGATAATGGTGATTATACTAAGGTCCTCTTATATTCCTATTATACCACTATTACAGAGTGGGGGGGTCCTCCCAAAGTCTATGTATGAGAAAGGCAGCTGCTTGAGGAGACATTCGGAATCCCAGGGGCAGGGCAACGGCCAGATCGAGTGGGGTCCTGCAACTGCACACGGTTTAGAGCTGAGGGTGCGGGGTTGGGTTTGGGATAAGTCAAACCGTGCGGCCCGGGCAGAACAGGGTCCACAAGCTATGCAAGGGAATCTTAAGGGCGTTCATAGTGGTAGTAATGATAATGTCTTGTGCCACGGTTCAGCCAAGGCTAGCAGCTGAATCCATGACCTGTGTGCTCAGCTCAGAAGTCTGAGGTTGGGGTTATATTGGGCTTATGAGTTGCAGGTTCCCAAAATTAGGATTATGTCAGGGTTATATTGGAGTAATATTGGGGATTTTATTGGGAGAATGGACAAGAAAATGGAACCTACAATTATATATTGGGGGTATATATATGTATATAGATTGTGTTGTGATTGCGCATTGCTGAAAAAAGAGCCCCCCCCTCGCTTCCCCCGAAGAATGACAATTTGTAGTGTAGGGACCTCCAAAAGAGGGACCCCTAGCTTTTGCAAAACCACCGTACTAGAATGTACTGAGATCATCTACTATAATATACTACAATTCTCTTTTATACTAGAATACTTGAGAGAGCTAAGTGGGGCTTTGTTTCAGTGTGCAGTCTCGCCTGACTGTGTCGACCCAGACCCGAGGCTGCATGCTTCTGGGTGGACGAGCTGAAGCGGGATCAGCCTGGCTGGATAGATCCAGGGTTTAGGGTTTAGGGTTTAGGGTTTAGATCCTAGGTAGGCTACCTGGTGCTTAGGAGGGAACCCCCATTCTCTACTAAGCACCAGGGAGTAGGAGAACACTCAAGTCATAGCCAGTTTATAACCTGTATTCCCCTATACTTCCCCTAAACCCTAAACCCCTTACCCTTATAAATAGCAGTAGTGTTTCGTAATATGTCTACCTTGCGAGGCTGGGGGTCCTCATCTCAGCCATCACCTGACAAAAAGCTTAGCAAGGTACCCTGCGTATGAGCGATGGCTCCTGCTGCATGACAGGATGTCATCATCATCTAAAGTCCATCAAGGGGGTGATATAGGGGATTGTATAAAAGAGTACTATTGGGGCTTTTAAGGGGGTTACTAGGAGTTTGGCCTAGAGCTCGTGTTAAGGAAACCTACAACCACCTCTTCCTATGCTCCACATGTGGCATGCTCAACAGCGTTTGCATTGAAAAGGGGATGGCTCCTCTGCATTAAAGACCTTATGTATACCCACACCTTATGTATGTCCCTAAACCCTAAACCCCAAACCCTTATGTATATCCTCAGCACTACTGCAGTGTTCGTAGAGTGTGACAGCTTGCGACGGGAGTGAAGCTGCTCGCATGCAAAAGACCTTCAAGAGGACCGCTCTTCTGGTCCTTGCCTTGAATGTTGTTCTTGTATATTATGGGCGTTATATAGGGGTTATATAGGGAATTACAGGTTATATATTGGGGTCATATAGGGATTGTAGGGTATATGTTAGGGTTATGGGTACAAGAAGGGGAGAACGCTAGCTAAGTACTCGGTTGGTCAGTCTCGCGTATATTTGTTTTGGAAGTAGTGTTATCATGATCGTTAGAGGCTGCTTAGCCACCAGTTGTACTTCTTCCTCTGCTGCCGTGGTTCGCTCCCACGTGGTTTCCGTTGTGGTTTTACTAATCACCAACATCATCAGCCTCATCATCATCCACCATTATTGTATGGGGAGGGGATCTCAAAGATGGGTCCCCAACTCCAAGATCCTGAGCCCTAAACCCTAAGCCCTACACATCCTGATAGATCCGTATACTTCGCATACATCCCCCAAAATAACATGGAAACCCATATAGCCCCCTGTTAGAAGGACTGTAGTCTTTATAGAGCCCTTTTGGGTTTCCATGTTAGTTTCCGGGAATGTAAATCCCTATCAAGATTTGAAAGCTTGCATCTGAGCATCCTGAAGTTGTTACTCATGGAGCCTGGTCTCGATGATCCTAAGACAAGAGTTGCCAAGACAATGGCTGTGGGGCTTAGAGGGATGTAGAGATTATGAGGGCGATATAACGGATTTTACACGGATTTGGGGAGTCATATATGGATTTAGAGGTTATGGGGACGGCATTCCAAGTATGAGGAGCCCCAGATTGGGACACTAACTCGGTGAAGCCACCATATGAGCCATAATCGAAACTCCTTAAATGGGGTCATATAGGGGATAATTTAGGGAACTACTATAGGGGTTAGTAAGGGACATACTAGGAGTTTAGATTATGGCTCATATGCGCATTTCCAAGCAGCAGTTAGTCACAACTCCACAGCTCGGTCCATGCTTTCCAGCCCGGGGCTTCTGGGCCCTGGATTCCTATTTGGGTATTAGGGTTTAGGGTATTAGGGTTTAGGGTATTAGGGTATTAGGGTATTAGGGTATTAGGGTTTAGGGTTTGCAGCTCCTATCCTGGAGTTGCTGGTGCCTGTCAGGAGAGGGCATGCAAATGTTAAGAAGCTGGGTTCTTCAAGGTATGGCTTGCTAGCCGAGATGCATCACACACGGAGGCTTGGCTGTGAGTCTTTCGTCCGTAAGTGGTCTGCAGCTACTGCTATACTATACAGTGAAGCAGGTCTAGGGTTGATGAAGATGTCTCCGACCATTCACTTGATCGTTATGTCAGGGGAGGCATCCCAAATACCCTGACGCACGGCCCGCCAACCCACATGGGCTCAAGCTTTGCCTTATCTCCCTGCGTCCCCCACGTAGCGCCTTCGCCAGCTTGTTGCTGGAATGCGACTGCTTTTGCAGCTGCTCTCAGTCAGCGCTGGTGTCAAAGGCGTTTTAGCAGAATGTGACTCCGTGGCTAGGTGGCACTTTGAGATGATTGACTGTGTCTCCTATTGCTGTCCTCATTAATCATGGGGTCTAGGATTTAGGGGCTATACAGGGGTCACATAGGGGTTATATAGGGTCTATATAGGGTTTATATGGGGTCTATTTAGGGGCTATATAGGCCTCAGAAGTACCGCCCAGGTGACGGATCGGATCCGCAATTTGTCGACCTATCCGCACTACGACAAGCGCTCGCGTCCAGGTCTAGGCCAGGGTCAGCCTGTGAACGTCACCATGCAGATGCATCTGGGCTGAGTTAGGCTTTATACAGGGGTTCTATAGGGTTTATATAGGGTTTATAGACCCCCAAAGGGATCTTAAGGTTTTAGGGTTTTAGGGTTTTAGGGTTTTGGGTTTTAGGGTTTAGGGTTTAGAACCATATGGGAATTTGTATAAGGATGAGATAGGGTTTATTATGGGTCTATGTAGGGATCTATTTTTTAGATCCTCCCAGGGGTCTGGGCTGCTAAGGAACTAAAGTAGATCACCATTATACACATGAGCATATGGGGGTTTCCTAAAATCATGGGTGCCTTTTTGGGGATCCCCATAACAAGGAGTATGGTATTTTGGAGTCTATATTGGGGCCACCCATCTAGGGAAACTACCATGTCATATGTAGTAAACATGCCGAGTACCTTACAATTGCAACTTGGTTGGTGTTCCTCAACAGCAACCAAGGTATATTGCGGCCATTTCCAGTGTGGACCAGAAGGGGCAGCAAATCGCCTTGGAGGGCTATTTCCGGTGGGAGTGGGTGGACCCTCGACTAGCTCACAACGATGACTGTGGCCAAATCACGATGCAGCTTCCAGTTGACGATGTATGGCAGCCAGATATCTACATTGACAACACGCTGAGCGAGTGGTATGGTGCTGGGTCCTTGATCGTGTACCCGGATGGTCGCGTTTCTTACTCGTGCTTAGTTGGGAGTGGGGGAAGGCATCCCGCAGTAGTCCTTCAAGAACCCCCAATGATAGTTTAGGGCTTGCGATTTAGGGGCCCTAAGCCTGTCAACCACCAGTAAGGTTTGGAGGTCGGCACGGTTCAATCACAATCTGCGCTGCCCCATGGAGTTTCACGCATTGCCCTTCGACAAGCAGACATGTTTTGTGCAGATGTCATCCTACTCCTTCGACATTGAAAACATCAACGCAGGTGCGCGGTTTAGGGTTTAGGGTTTACGAATGATATTGGGCTTAATATAGGGGTTGAATGCAAGGTGTATGTAGGGATTGTATGGGGTCACTTAGGGTTTAGGGATACGACCCCGGTGGAGAATCAAATGGATAAGAGAACTGAGAATAAATGGACACTTGGGTCCTATAGGGGCATATAGCAATTATGTAATACAGGAGTTTAAACTGATACCTCAGGTCTCATATTCCTTACAATCATAGAACGGGGCATCTCAAATAGAGTTCAAAATAACGGTGGAGCCCTAAACCCTTCAACCCTAAACCCTAGACCCCTTTTAGGTGCCTACAGTACGGTAAGTTTATCCCTGAAGCCCAACCTCTGGAAATACAGGTCGTCTGCCAACAGCCGACACCTCGCGAGGGGTTGTACACGCGGTTAAGAGTTTAGGGTTTAGGGTTTAGGGAAAAAGGTGGATATTACAACAAGAACGGAGAATCAAGGGGACGAGAAATTCAAGATGAAATGGAAACTGGCCTTGTATATTGGATGATTGGATTTAGTGTATATGAGCCACTGTCAATTTCCTTTGGTAATCTGATATAGTCCCTAATACGTTCGCTGGAGTATATGGGAAATATTGACTGTAGCTCATATTAGGGTTGTAGACTAGATATTGGGTCTAAACCCTAAGTCTTAAGGTTTTTGACTTGAATTGGCAGGTCCTTTCAGCAACGGCGCAGTTGTGATGCCTCAAGGTTACACCGGAACTACCGAGTGGAAGCTGTCGGAGGTGAGGTCAGAGGCTGGGACCACTGAACCGCCTTTTAAACTGGGGTTCAGGGTTAAGGGTTTGGGGTTCACAGGGTCAAGGGTTTGGGGTTCAGGGTTAAGGGTTCGGGGTTCAGGGTTTAGGGTTTGGGGTTCGGGGTTTAGGGTGAAGGGTTAAGGGTTTGGGGTTTAGAGTTTAGGGAAGCAAAAGACCGAGGGTCCCTTTTGGGGGGATCCCCATGACGAGGATTATGGTGTTTTGAGGCTCGGTAAGGTAACCCAACAAAGTTTGGAAACGTTCATTACTACCACTGTGTTGCACACTAAGGCATACGCCTGTTACTACAAGTTACGATGTGGCAGTTTCCATCAATTAGGGGCTCAAATAGATCACCCATATACATATATATATATATACATTTGTATGTTTTAGTCCATGTTTATAAGGACCCCCAAGAAAGAACCCCTGGTTGTTGGAAACCTCCATATGAGCTACTGTCAATATTACGGCTGCCAAGGGGCCGTTCAAGGTGGACATAGGGATCTCTCTTGTAGCTTATTATTGTGGTAGCTAAGATATTCCTTACAAGGAACCCATGTCCATTGATTATGTGGGAGAAAAATACTGATTGCAGGTCATATGATGCAGAATCAACCTCAAATCCTAATCCCTAAACCCTAAACCCTTAACCCTTAAACCCTAATCCCTAAACCCTACTCCCTAAACCCTCAACCCTAAACCCTCAACTCAAACCCTAAACCTTTTACGTTGGCTACCGCCATCTTGCTGGCCGCGTTTAGCAGCCTGAGGGCTGAAAGCCGCAGTCCCGGAGCCCTGACCCAACCAGTGCCCAAAACGGGAATTAGGGTGTAGGGCTTAGGGGTTTAGAGTTCATATTTAGGGTTTAGGGTTTAGGGGTAGGGTTGTAGGGGGAGTGCGGGAGGCAATATGGGTACTGTTATAGGGGTCTATATGGGGATTTTTTATGAAGATCCGCTCCCCAACGCCCTCTTAAGCAGCAGCAGCCTAAACCCTAAACTCCTAAACTGCTTCGCGACCAGCTGGGCCCCTGCACCAGGCAACCGTTGAGTGGTTCGGTGTTGGTGACAACCTTCAAGGCTACAAGTACGTCTCTAGGCTCGAACCCTAAACCCTAAACCCTAATAGATTCGTGAGAGAAATCATGTTGTGAGTTTCGGGTTTAGGGGATTATAAAGGGTTTTTGGATGCGGAACGGAGAAGCACAGGTATTGCCGCGTCTGCCTATATGTAGCATGGATCCTACAGAAAGTTTAGGGCGTCAGGGGACCTCTGTTGCGAGAGTGAGACCACTCATGAGGAAGGAGGTACTTGCTTTAGAATTTCTGAAAGCATAGCCTATCCAATCCTCAAGCGGCATGCCCTATTCATCCGTGACGTCCCTACAGTACCCCTCTTGTGATGAGAAACCGCCAAAAGGGAAGTTCTTACACCGCTGAGCTCTGCAAGTTCCAACAGTCTTCTTGATCAGCTGCTCTTATAATGAAAGTGCCCACCGCCCTCATAAATCCTAAATTCTAAACCGAGAAGCAGGACTACTTGAGGTCATCATGTGGGAGGAGTACTCGGTTTGAGGGGTGTAGGAGGGGGTTATGAAGTAAATGCAGAAAGTTTAGGGTAGGGGGTTTGGATTTGGGATGTGGACATTGGAGTTAAACCCTAAACCCTAGTTGCAGTAAGGTCTGGATCTACCTGGAATTGGACCGCCGACCCAATGCCTTCATGATCTTCGTCTTCTTCACCAGCGCCCTTGCAGATTTATGCAAGGCTTCAAGATGATGGCATACCCAGACCCCCCAAAGGGGGCTAAGACTTTGACCCCTAGAATCTTATGGGAAAAGCAGATATAATCCACACATTCGGTTCTTAGCGCCCCCTAGATTAGAAGCAACTATTTCGAGCCAGATCAAGGGTCAAAGACTAATTAGGGTTTAGGGTTTATGCATGCGGGCTTAGGGTCCAGAAATTCAACCCCTAAACCCTAATCCCTAAACCTTAAACCCTAAACCCTAGACCTTAAGCCCTAGACCTTAAGCCCTAAACCCTAAACAAGTAAGGTTGAGGTTGAAGGTGGCTTAAGGTGTAGCCTGAAATCCGAAAAGTCTGAGTTTTTTCCATTTACATTTATTTGCTCTTCTTCTGTGGAACTAAACTTTTGACCTGGCCGATCGCTCTAGAGGTGGGGCGTCCTAATCAAGAGCGCATAAAGAGGGTCATCTCAGGTTTATATGGGGCTCTGCTTTTTGGAAAAGATCCGTCTAGGGCTGTAGATACTCTAAACACCCAAACCCTAAACCCCAAACCCTAAGCCCGAAACCCCAAACCCCCCAAACCCCAAACCCCAAACCCTAAGCGGTCCTGGCCATGACTTTCCATGGAAGGTCCCCTGGCATGTGAGCCATAATGTAAACTCCTTGAAGGGGGTATATATTGGGATAATGGAAAATAAAATGGAAACTACTATAGTAGATAGGGGCTATATAGGGATAATGGAAAAGAAAATGGAAACTACTATGGCATATGGGGGATTGTATAGGGGAGCATTATAGGGGTCATTAAGGGGGATACTAGGAGTTTAGATTATAGCAGCTCATGTAGCAGCCCCGCGTAAAAGCGGTTCTGAGGAACGAAGGGTTTGGGGATGCTTAGGGTTTAGCGTTTGGGGTTGCTGTTCAGGAATTCAGCCTAAGTTATCACATTATAGAAACCCTGATATCCCCCCTGTACATGCCTATCATAGTATCTTACTCTACGTTCCTTAACATACGGGATTACTATAGTACCCCCCCCCAAAGGTTCCCCCCCCCTCTCCCTAATTGCGGGAAATCCCAAAACCCCTGAACCCCTAANNGGTACCTTTGGGGGGTGCATTATTGTAATCCTTTATAGCAGCAACAGATTCCAAGTAGGGGCTCCAGCGGAGCATTGTTCAGAGCTTCCCCTCCACAGACCCAGAGCCATAGCTAGGGTTTAGGGTTTAGGGCTTAGGGAAAGAGATCCCCTACGTTACCCACCAGAACCCCAATACAATATTTGCCCTTATGGTTCTAAGGGATCTAACTTTTACATTCCTTTCCCTTTTGTGCAGACTTGTGTGTGTGTGACTATCACTCAGGGAACCAAAAGACCCCAAACATTAAACCCCATAGGAGTTTCCCAATTCTTTTCCATTAAGCCCTTCCACGACCCTAAGTCCTAAAAAAGCCCTTGCTCAGAAATCCTGTGACTTTGCCGGTATTGCCATGAATTGTGTGCTGAAATCCAACACCCACGGATTGCCCTAGTACCCGGCCAAGAGTTTAGGGTTTAGGATTTTAAGGTATTTTGGCCAATTGAGGGGGAACGTAGGGCAGTATAGACCCCAAACCTTCAACCGTAGTAGGGGAACGCCTGAAACAAGCTTCAGATGCTGGGTCGATACCACCCTGTTCATTTCTGCAAGCCTTTGCTTTGATCTTAGCGCTTTGCCGTGTTTGTGGTTAGGCTGTTTGATCACGGATGCTCTCTTTTTTGGGGGGTAGTAAGGAGCTGCGTACTGAAGTTGCTATTCCCTAGCTATCCTTGTACGACGATAGTAGAGCGCACCCCAAGCCAAGTTTGACCATTTAGGCCCCTTCTTCGCACGAAGCCTTCCTCCCGAATATTCTTGAAGCACACGCGAGAAAACAACAGCCCCACCCCTGAAGAATAACTGGTCCTTGAGTGCCACCACGACATAACTTCAGGAATCAAAATCATGGGGACCCCCCCAAAAGGAGGCCGATAATTCGGACCACCTCATGGCCCCAAAGCTCTCAGATCTTAATACACGGACGGGGCGTAGGGTACCCAACCTCTACATGAGGCATAATCTAAACTCCTTAAAGATGGCTAAATAAAGGATTATGTAGGGGACAACTATAGGGGTTATTAAGGGATTTAGACTATGGCTCACATCTCGAAACTCAGTCAGAAAAACAAAGGAATCACTGGGCTTCTAATAGGGATCCATCCTTCAATGCCCTACTGGCAACTCTGAAGCGCTGTATCCATTTTCTTGTTCATTCTTCCATTATACTACCTTTATATAACCCCTATATGCCCTAGTATAATGTAGTAGTTTCCGTTCTCTTTTCCGTTGCCCCCTCTAAAACCCCTTTATAATCCCTATAATCCCAATACAAAACCTTATACCCTAAACCCTAAACCCTTAAACCCTACACCCTGAACCCAAAATTATCAAAGCCAGTAAGACTTAGGCGTCACCTTCGGAATCGTTTCCTGGGTTGGGCTTTTCATCAACCCGTCCGCTGCCCCCGCCCGCGTCGCCATCGCGGTTATCCCAGCAGCTGGTCTGGGTTTAGGGTTTAGGGTTTAGGGTGAGGGCTTCCGACGCGGTGGGTGCGCTTTTGGGAGTTTAGGGTTTCGGGTTTAGGGAGTCCCTTTAGTACGCCATATTGTGGGCGTACATGAGGAGACACTCATGTTAGGCAACACCCATAAAAAAAAGTGCATCGGACGTAGGCTGCCCGTTCTTAGCCGATGAGACCGGGTCATTCTTGGACAATTTTTGATTTTAACATGGAATTTGATGTTGAGATTCCAGCAGCGCGCCTTTCATGCCACCCATGATGTGAGAAAACCAAAGCAAGACCATACTTCAGTAGAGAATGTGTGGTCCACAGTGCATGACAGTATGTGATGTAGATGCCCCAATATGTAGGGAAGAGTCGCGAAGTCATCAGGTTTGGGTATGGTAGTTTCTCAAGACAATCCTGCAGAATCCTTAGCAAGGACACCTACCCGTGCAATCCTCTTGTTACCCCATATATTCCTAAACCAAAGAAAGGCCTAAGCTTTGGACTCTGAACCGCTAGCCCTGTAATCCTTTCATACTAATATACGCCCCCCAGTTATATAAAGTCTCTTATGGGGAAGAGTAGATTTTAGATAAAAGGGGAACCGACCTAAACCCTAAACCGTAAACCATTAATAGATTCTAGGGTACCCGTATCTTGAGAAACTGCAACACTCACGAATTGACAAGAGGGGCGTTCAAACGGGAAGGAGACTGCAGATCAAGGACCCCTGCAAAGGGTTAGGAGTTAGGGTTTAGCGTTTAGGGTTTAGGGGCATTTAGGCTTTAAGGCTTCGGAACTTCTGCAAAATGACAGGGTCTATTCTCGTGCATCATGGGTGGTTACAATAAGTTGGGACCCGGTTTACGGAGACTACCATATGTGGAGCTGAAAGAGCACGAGACTGTGGCATTGTGGCTACACCAAACAGTGAGCTGAAGACAAACTACCCAAATCCCTAAACTCCCAAACCTCAAGCCGTCAGGTTTTGATCATGCTGAACCTTGAGAACAGTGTGACGTCCCAGCTGCCACCTTTGAACTACATGACACTCGGCGGCTGTTGCGGCAATGTGGACTAAGTTGCCATGATATGGATACCGGATACGTTGTCGGGCTGCCTGGATTCTGGTAGCTTGATTCAAAGCTTAAACTAAACAATAGGCCCCAAACTCTTTCAAAGCAATCCAGGACATGGCTCACAAGCTTTCTCTTCACGATCAAGTTGTTCACCATGTCGGTCGTCTTCGAATATGGCTTGGTGTCCTGGCTCATGATGGTGGAACACCACAGGGTCCGCAAGTTCGAGGCAATGAAGCAGATGGCCGCATCCTTACAGAAAGATAAAGAATTCTTGGATGCGGTCCAGAAGCAATCGGACATAGGGTTACAGGTGGACGGGGAGAACACTGCCAGTGAGCTCTTGAAGAAGGGTCCAGAGCAGGTCCAGGAGGTCTACAAGATGTTCGACTCCGACCAATCTGGCTGCATGAGCAAGAAAGAGATCCAGGTAGGCTTCCGGAAACTGGGACAATACTTGAGCATGGACCAGGTCAATCGAATGTTCTTCCGGCTTGGCGTACAAGAAGGTACTCTCCAAGCACACGACTTCACACGTCTCCTGCTAAATCTTGCGGAGTACATGCCAGGAACGCCCTTCACCATCTCCTATTGGGAGCGCCCCCCCTCACTGCAAGCCGACCTTGCGTTCCGCTACGTGTACATTGTGTGTCTGGGTTGCTGTTAAGGAACTTAATTTAAGTTACTATATTGGGGAAACCCTATTATTTACGATATATACCCATTATTGTAACTTAGTTTAAGTTCATTAAATCCCTATATTCCCCCAGTTTCCATTTCATTTTCCATGTTCTTTTCCATTTGATTCTCCATTATAGGGGGATAATCCCTTAATTTAAGCCCTAAACCCTATATAACCCCATTAGAGTAGTTTCCATTTTCTTTTCCATTATCCCTATATATACCCATTATGGTAACTTAATTTTAAGTTCCTTAACAGCAACCCAGTTAAACCCTGAGCCACGCAGTTTGGGGTTCAGGGTTTAGCCTCCAAAGACACAGGTTACACATGGGCATCTCTGAGCTATTGGGGG